AGTTCAAGGCCAAGCCTGGTCTATATAGTGAGTTCCAGGACAGCTGGGACTACAGGGAGACCCTGTCTCAAAAAGACAAAAAAAAAAAAAACAAAAAACAAACCAGAGGTGGTTTCCACCAGCCTCTACGTACTAGCGGGTGTTAAGGAAGTTGTTTGGTGCAGGTTTTGCCCTGGGTGAGGTTTACTGGTGTTCTTAGTTGATGGAATCACCCACCATCCTTAGGAGAACCCAGGAAAGTGGAGCCATAGTGGCAACAGATTGCCAGATCTGCTGCCCCCAGAACAGCTTTAAAGACATGTGTGTCCTTCCGTGGGAGCAGAGGACTCTGGGCGATGCCTCAGGCATGTCAGGGCACAAGGATGCCTGCCAGAGCCCCAAACTCAGCAGTATTCAGGAGAATTAGACCCATCTCTGGAGCAAGGGGTTCCCTCTGCTGCTGCCCAGCTGTGTGAGTGGCAGGACCTATGCCCCAGGCTCAGGGTCCAGGCTCTCATTTCTCCCTGGCGCGCCTGGATCCACCCTTGTACCTGGGCTGGGCTACTCTGCACAGCCCTGTGGGTGGCAGCCAGTTGTGTAATTTGATAAGCTGACTGTGATTCTCCAAAGACACCGTAGCTTGCCTTACTCCTTCAGTGGGTGAGTGAGACTCCCTTGCAGACTCCTCTAGAAAAAAGTAAGCAAAGGTACCTGGGCCTTGAGCTTGACCCCGTCCTTGGCCATGGCAGTCAAAGCTGGTCCCTGTTGGCCAGAGGCTGTTTCATGTGGAGCTGAGAAATCTCTGCCCACAGCCTATGACTCTGACAGAGCCAGTACTTAGGAATGGGTAGGACTGTCCTCCACCTGCCTGTCCTTCCTGCTACGGCTCTACAACATTCCCTTTCCAACTACAGACCAGATTTCCGACTTTCCAACACACAGAGGGGTGTCAGACACCTTACAATGCCCAGGCTCATGTGGATGGCTTCACCCAACTGCTGAGCAAGACTGACAGCTTGATCTGAGTCCTGATAGCCAAGAGAGAACATCTGGCTCAGATTTCCACCTTGTCCTATCCCAGCTACCCAAAGCACTGAGCGTGCAGTGCAGTGTGGTTCCTAGGAACCCATTTAGTGAATCAAGAACTGCCCAAAAAAGGGTGAGTGCCACAAAAGGAGAGGTCCTTCAAACGGGGCTGCCAGAGGGGCATCCCAGGGCCCCTCAGGATTCAGGGTGGCACTTTCTGCCCATGGATGAGGGTGACTCGTTGGTAAGTGGCCTTACGGGACTAGCTACCCCCCTAGGTTAGCTAGGGCAGTAAGCACCATTGGTGAACAGCACCAGGTGGGCCTGTCCATGAATCACTCCCACTGAGACTTTGTGTATTTAAGACAGGAGAATGGGGTGGGGGCTGACTTCTGTGAGGACCAAGATTCCTGAGCTCCCAAATAATTGTGATCCAAGACTTCTCTCAGCTCCTCTACACCCTTTATGGGCAGAAGGGATTCAGGGCCTTATGAATTTCAACTTTAAGATGACTCTGGCCTGATATAAACCGCAGAGCCAATGCCGGTTGGTGGGGCAGGCACTAAGAACAATGGCTGCTTCTACCTAACAGCCCCACCTGGGCTTCTTCTTCCTAGTGTTGTGGCCTTGGGCAAATGACTTCCCATCTGCAAGCCTCAGAGTTCTTCGAGGGTAGGGATAGAAACCGTGCCTACCTGGTGGTACTGTGTGGTTAAATGAGACAGTGAATGAATACTGCTGAGCACATTGCCTGCCACCCACCACCCTATCTCCTCTACCACCACCATTACTGTCACCACCACTACCATCACCTCCGCCACCACCACCATTGCCGTCACCACCACCACCACTGCCACCACCATCACCACCATCACCACCACCACCATCAGCAGCAGCCCATCATCTCATCGTCTAATCATTATCATTATCATCATCATCATCATCACTGGCATCATCCTATGAACCCTGTGGGATAAGGTATTCCATTTGGTTGCTAGCCTTTATCTTCCTCAGAGCAAACTTCCCATGAGCCTGATGCACCTCACCCCCAGATCCATTCTAGAGGGGGGACAGTTGCCCTTCTGAGTACATATGTTCAGTCACATGTTCCCAGAATGATCCTAGGAAAGGTGTCTATGGCTCTGGAGTCAGGGACCCCATGAGAAAACCCAAAATTTGCAGGGGAACAGATACTATTGCCCATTCGTTTAGCATTGTCTGATGTTTTCAGGGCAGGGGAGTGTCTGGCTGTCTGTTCCTTTTGGTAGAGGCACCTGGCTGCTCCAGGCTGATGCAAGTCTCCAGTTCTCAGGGAGGGAAGGGTGAATACTACCCTGGCTGTTCTCCTAAGGTGTGGGAAGTGTACCATTCTGCTGCCCTTCCATACCCAGGCCTGCCACATGCACCTGGGAGAGCAGGCTGTGGTGTCCGCCCTGTGGGACAGTAAGGCCAGCTTGGAGGGCCCCAGCCTTAGGGCAGAACCCGGCCATCTTCTCTGTGAACATCCCCATCTCAATAGCAGGTCAGTAGGACAGGAGGCCCCTTCACCCCCTTGAGCTTCAGTGTCCTCATCTAAATCAGGGTGTGAGAGCTGCACCCCTTCTCAGGGTTGGGTGGAAGTGTGCTTAAAGCACGTAGGTGACACGTCATAAGCAGCTGACAAGGCAGCAGCTCTCAAGTGCTGGGTAGCCAAAGCTCTCAGGGAACATGAAGGACCCCAGATATGCTGCCCCAGAAGACCCTCAAACCTGAGAACTTCATGCCATTTGGTCTCCCACACTGGCAAAGCCCAGCCCAGGAGAGCTGTGAGTGGCCCCCACAGTGGTGGAGTGCTAGCAAGGCCCCACACATAGTTCAGGTGTGGCCCCAGTGCCCATGATTAGCCCCTTCATGTCAACTCCTCTGCCTCTCTCTCAGCCCCAGAAGGCCACATCTCATGTTATGGTGAGGAGCTTGTGCTGTAGAGTCAGACAGACCTGTATTAAAATCTGGATTTCTGAGGCTTATGCCTTGGGCAACGAATTCCACATTGCTAAGCCTCAGTTTCTCCCTTTTGGGGAGCATTATATAATGGTGCTTGGACAAACTTTAGAGAGGGTGCCCACAGTGACCTGGTATATGTGATCACCCACCACCGGAGCCTCCTTGATCTGTCTGTGCGCAGCCTTGGCAAGCCAGGCATCCCTGAGCCTCCATCTGTACTCCCTCATGTTGGACTCTTCCCATGGGAGGGGTCTGAACAGTGAGTGCCTTCCAGGCCAGACTGCTTGGCAGATATGGATTTTGGGATCTCCATGGATAATTGTCCATTCTACCAATATCTGTCAAGGATGCAGCCAACAGTGGCCTCACAGAAGGGGAGAGGAGGGACAACACTGCCCATTCTCTGTCCTGCTTTGGGACAGCCAACAACTGGCAATCTTACCTTCCCCAAATCCTAGGGCAGCAGGAGAACCACAGGAAGAAGGTGGAGGGGAGGCTACAGCTCAGGAGGAAGGAACTCATCTGGGAAGCTGCCTGTGCAGAGGATATCACTGCAGAAACCTTCACGGTCAGAGCCAGCTGACCTAAGAAATCCCTGCCAATGGCTGGGAAGGGGAGCAGCCCAGGAGGCAGCATTTCTCAGCCTGGACAGACCTGCTGCACTTGGTGATGAAGGGCCAGCCATGTGCCAGGAACAGGCAATGGTGACATGGAAATGTTTCACCTGGTGTGCAATGAAACAGGCACATGGTTCTCAGGCAGAGGTAGAGTCACATGTGGCCAGCCATCCCTCTGTGGACAGAAGAGAGGAAAGACGTCATTCAGCCACTGGCACCTCTCTGCACCACAGCTCACAGCAGGGCAAGGGTAATCTGTGGCCATCCGGAGAACAGTTCCCTTGAAGACTTGGAAGACTAAGCATGTGTTGTGACATATCATCACCTAAAGAGGAGGGACTAGTGGGCAGAAGAGGAAGATCCTGGAGTTGCCGTCACAGATACCAGATCTGAACTTGGGCCCCTGTGCAACAGGCTTAAGATGGCCATGATACAGTTCTTTCTTGGCTGGAGGTCAGAAACCCTGTCATGGTGTGATGGCCAGGCTGCAGTGAGAGGCTGTCCCCACACCACACACAGATGACCAGTGACATGGGCAATAAGGAGAGGTCCAGGGCTGGCTGTGGACAACAGAGGGAATGTTTATAGGAAGTCTAGACCCTATCTGACATTCTACAGATGGTCAGGTCATCACCTGGCCAGTAGGCAAAGAAGCTGGATTAGGGCAGGAGTGTGCTTCGGGAGTAGGGAAGAGGCTTGCCAGCAAGCAACACAAGGAGTGAGTCCTTCAAGGTAGGGTGGGTAGAACAAGATGGTGCCTGCCTCCCGAAGAGGGAGAGCAAGAAGCAGTGCAGTCCCCCAGAGGTTCATGCTTCGGGTACAGGTGAGAGAAAAATCAGGCGGTGCCCATGGGGAGACCCCTGGAGCCCAAGCCCTCGAGTACTAGCAGATTGCAGGGGTAGTTTACAAGGACTGGAGCCATCAAAGGGCCTGCCCAGAGGAGACAGTGTAGCAACAGAGGATCCACTGCATCCTGGTGGACAGGGACACTACATGTGACCTCAGCAACCTTGGCCGAATGTGCAAGATTTCTCACCCCTCACTGTGCATGTCTACTTTCAATGTGTGACAGCCTTGGGTGGTGGACTGCACAGCATTTTCTATTAAGCAGCTCAGGCATGCACTGGAGTAGCTGGAAGAAGGGTGAACAGCCAATAAAAAGTTCATGAAATAGTGTTGTGACACCTGGGGTCTTTCCCAGATGGAAACTCTGAGGGGTGTGTTCCCTGGCCTGGTGGATCCAGATGTGACCTAGAAGGGCTGGTTGCAGCGGGAACAAGGAGCCCAGGAGGAGGAAGGGAGGGGCTGAGCCATGCAGTCTGGGGTGTTCTTGCCTCCCCCAGGAGGCTGATCTTTTCAGACTAAAGCTAACATTTACCCCGTTTTCTTCTGCAGCAGGGGACGTCTCTACGCCACACTGGGGCCCAACTGGAGGGTTCCAGTTCGGAATTCTCCCAGAACCAGGAGCTGCGTCTACAGGTAGTCCTTGGTGCATTTGCTCATTCATTCAACAAATAACTTGGGGCTGCTTACTGGGTCAAGACTCTGTGCTAGAGGCACCCAAAGGAGACACTTAGTATTTCTTTAATGCTACTGCAGGAGCACCAATTGCCCCAGACACATGGAACACTCTTGACAGGAGGGAGCCATCAAAGGAAGTAAGACCGGAAGGGTGGCAATTAGCCAAGTGACTGGAGAGTGGGTCCACAGGGGTAGAGAGCTCAGCCAGAGAGACTTTGGGGCTGTGAGACAGTAGAAGCAGGTAGCTCGGTGAGGGCAAGAAACATTGTGCTATAAGAAACTAGAAGATAAGGGTGCCAGCGAGCCACATACAACATGGAAAAGAGTGGCTCCCTTTCCCTTAAAAGCACTGGGAGCCAGGTGTGATAGCACACACCTTTAATCCCAGCACTTAGGAGACAGAGGCAGGCAGATCTCAGTAAGATCAAGGCCAGCCTGTTCCGCATGGAAAAGAGTGGCTCCCTTTCCCTTAAAAGCACTGGGATCCAGGTGTGATAGCACACACCTTTAATCCCAGCATTTAGGAGACAGAGGCAGGCAGATCTCAGTAAGATCAAGGCCAGCCTGTTCCACATAGCCAGTTATAGGCCAGTTGGGGCTACAGGGAGACCCTGTCTCCAAAAAACCAAAATCCATAATTTGGGGGGCAGGAGAGATGGCCCAGCTGTTAAGAGCACTGGCTACTCTTACAGGGGACCCCAGTTCTGTTCCTAGCAAGTACACGGCAGTAAGTAACTGTTGGTAACTCCAGTTCCAGGAGATGCAGTGCCCTCTTTTGGCCTCTGTGGGTATTGCATGACACCGGTCCACTTACATGCAGGCAAGACACCCATATACATAAAGACATCAGGGAGCTGGTGAGATGGCTCAGCAGTTAAGAGAATTGGCATCTCTTGCAGAGGACCCAGGTTCAGTTCTCATCACCCACATGGTGGTTAATTTATCCATAACTCCAGTTACAGGGGATCCAATGCCCTCTTCTGACCTCCACTGACATTGTATGACACCAGTACACTTACACACATGCAGCCAATACACTCAAAAAATGAAAAGAATAAGGTTTTTTTTTTGTCTTTTTTTCTTGAGACAGGCTTTCCCTGTAGCCCCAGCTGTCCTGGAACTCACTAGGTAGACCAGGCTGGCCTCGTAAAATAATAAGTATTTTTAGAAATACATCAAAACATGTTAAAGCATGGGAGCCAGGGGACAGGTTGGGTGGGGAAGGAGAACTGTGTGGGTGGAGAGAGCATGGGAGGAGGCAGGAGTGGGAGTGAGGGCCGGGGAAGATGCAGTAGCCTTGGAGGGGGAGGTAGGATGGCTAACCAGGCACTGTTAGGACCTACTGGTACCTTCTTAGGATTGACTAAGTTGCAGAGCATGCATGAGGGTAGAAGTGCCCTAGGGTTCCAGCCCAAACAGCTGCCAGGTGGTGCTGCACTGACTGCAGGCTTGGCAGCCAGCGTGATTGAGCCAGGTGCCTGTGGCCATCTAGTGAGATGACAGGCACCTATGACAGTGCCTGGTGCCAAGAAAGAGAGAGGGTGAAAGAAGAGCCAGGAGGAAAGGGGGGCAGAAAATGGTGGTGTGAGACCCCTGCCCCTCTTTCCCACTGTACCCCATTTCTCTTGCATCCTTCAAGGCTCCTGCTAACAAAAGGAGGGGCTGCCAGAGCTTGGGTTGCAAAGGCCCATGTTCCTCAGGTATCGAGAAGAGACAGGGAGACAGGTGTGAGCCCTGGGGAGCAGCCAAGAGGAAGCAGATGGCAGGGCAGGGCAGGGGGCTGCTAGAGGCTGGGGTATGGGAACCTGGTGAGCGCACTCGGTGGGAGCCCTCCCTACTCCTCAGTGGTTTTGGCCCAGCTCTGAAGAGTCCTGCCTAGACTCACCAGTGAGACACCTGACAGTTCCAATGACTGGGAGGGAGAATGGTCTCAGCTGCTGTGGGGCTGTATGTGACTGGTGATCTCCCTTCAGTCCCACAAGCCCTTGCACCTGTACTGTGGGGAGCTCAGTCGCTGTGCCCACTATGGAGGGGCCTCTGAGAAGGAAAACCCTGCTCAAGGAAGGCCGGAAGCCTGCGGTAAGTCAGCCACACATCCATCAGAGACAGTATGGGCCCAGGAAGTAGCCTGGTCCAAAGGCCAGCCAACCAGGCTCCCAGCAATGTGCGCCATTGAGGGGACAAAAGCCTCAGTTTCTGTATCTGTGAACGAGGATGGAATCACATCTCCTGGAGGCCATGTGTGGCAGAGTGCCAGCACATGGGTACATGTGCAAGCCAAAGCTACCACCGTGGTCATCTGGAGGGTAGGTGAGGCCTGGGCACCCTGAAGGGAGAGTGTCACACAGCCCAGGAGGCAGCATGGTGCTGTGTCTGTAGCGTTCCCATGCACACTCCCTGGCAGTGTGCTCACACCAGTGGCAAGCACAGGAATGAGCCATCAGGGGGCTTTTCAGGTCCACTAGCAGCCTTTGTTTTAGACCTGTATGTCACAGCCTCTAGGACCACACATGCAAAGCCTCAGCCCCTCCCATGGCAAGCCCATCCTTGAGCTGCATCTATCTCCCGACTGCATCTGCTCTGCTCTCCACCGTGCTTTGGCCCCTCTCCTGCCCACTGAGTTTGTAGATGCCACCTGCTGTGATGCAGGAGCCCCATGTCAATCCTGCAATATAGGCTCGCCCCTCTTCTTACTGAGTGAAGCCAAAGCCAGCCAGTGTCTCAGCGGTGCTGTTTCTGGGGCTGGTTGATGTCGCAGTGAGTAAAGAGTCAATTCAGTGGGTCATGACCAGTATTTTTAAAAAGTGTCTATGTGTATGAGTATTTACCCACATGTAGGCGCTCCATGTGCATGCAACTGTTATGGAAAGATTCTTGGAACCGCTAAGAGATGTAGCACTCACCCAGGAGAGAGTTGGAAAGCTTGTTTATTCTTTCACATGTCTGCAGTCTCAGATTTAGCAGAAAGGCTTCAAGATTTCTAAGCCCAGAGCAGCATATAAGTCAGGTTATATAGGACTTTTTACATCATTTAATGGTTGCCACCTGGACCCTGTGTTTCTTTTCATAATGGGCCATATTATCTTAGGAAAATTTCTTCCTGAGTTCACCCCAGTCATCATGGCTTTCACAGTAGATATCCCAGGCACATGGGCCAGGACATCTTTACCTTTGACCTATAGCTAGGCCAGGCTAGGAATTGGCCAGTCACTGCAGTTTACAAAAACAGATATCACCAGCAGAAGTTTAAACATGTGTTGTGTCGGGCCACACTTCTCTTGGGCTAATTGACCCAGCTGCCTCATTGGCCCATTTGATGACCTTTCCCCTTTCTTAGGTTCCCATCTTTGTCAGCAGTGAGACATGGTGGGTGGAAAGCATCACAGAGCTTCAAGATGTCACAGAGCAATAAAACATCACTGAGTAGTAAACATCACAGGGTTGCATTTCAAGTTTTCTACCCAGCAGGAAAAACAAGAGGAAACTTCATGAGTGTGCACACAGTCAGTTCTCTGCTTCTACCATTTGGGTCCTTGGACTCAAGCTCAGGTTGTCAGGCTTGGGGGGCAAGCACCTTTCCTCACTGAGCCATCCTGCCTGCCTGTGACTAGTGTTTTTGAATGAAATAGAAGACAGTGGAAAAGGGCAGCGTTCCTCACACACAGTAAAGATAAATGTTCCTTGGACTTTTCCACTTGAACACATGTCTGTTGCTGTGCACCCTGTGGTGTCAATGAAGGGCTGGAAGGGCACCACTTTTCTTGTGATTCAGCTGCCCCTAGCAGGAAGGTCTGTTTGGTGATGCTAATGACCTGTTCCTGCGAGGCACAGTCCTTTTCCTCCCAGAATGCAGTGTTTGCCTCACCATTGCTGAACTGAAAACCCCACTGAAGGTCAGAGCCCCTCGATCAGAGAAGTCTAGCTTCTACTCTAGAGAGACAGAGGGACACTCCCAGCTTGGCCGTCCCAATAGAAAAGCGCCAAAATTCAGCACTCAATCTCTCCAGAGAAGCCATTTCAGACATTCAGTTTCTAGGCTGCAGCTCACCATCTCCCTCTTTTTTTTTTTTTTTTTTTTTTTTTTTTTTTTTTTTTTTTTTTAAAAAAAAAAAAAAAAAAAGAGGACGATAAATCTTTCACTGTGATATATCAAAATAAGGGCTTCCAAAAGCATCCCTCTATTGGGTTCTTCCTCATATGACAAAAGGAAATATCTTTTAAAAATTTATAAAAACTTTTAATTCTAGTTGTCTTATAGAATACCTACCGAACACTGATTTCCCCTTCCATGTATTTCAGAAGGTACCATTTTTACTTTGCTTTATTTTTATTTTATTTTATCTTATTTTCTGAGACAGGGTCCCCCTGTAGCCTCAGCTGGCCTGGAACTCACTATATAGACCAGGGTGGCCTTGAACTCACAGAGATCTGCTTGCCTCTGCCTCCCAAGTGCTGGGATTAAAGGCGTGTGCCACCATGCCAGGCTATCTCCCTCTTTAAAAATGCTTTTTCTTGACAGTATTTGGGCTCAGGTTCCCTAATGCATAGGATTTGTGCCCCGAGGCTGCTTTCAACAGGGTGAGGAAAGGAAGTAGCTGCATGAAAGAGTAAGAGGGGGGGAAGAAAAGGCCTCCTCCTGGTGATGGGTGAAGATGGCACCCCATGGGATGGCAGAGGGCCAGAGAATAGAGGGCTGTGTTGCATGTATGAGGATGGTCAGGTCTGTGAGGTAGCCTGGGGCCACTCCTGTCCCCTGTAGCATCACTCTTGCCTCTGCTTCCTCTGCAGCTGTCGTCGTGGACCAGGTACTGGGTTGTACTCTCAGGATCCACCCTCCTGTACTATGGAGCCAAGTCCTTGCGGGGCACAGACAGAAAACATGTAAGTCCTCTGAAAGGACCTCCATGCTGGACCTCCACTAGTGGAAATGACTCTTGTGGACTGCAGGGGCTAGGGTAGGCAGGACACTTGCCTGACCCATGTCAGCCTCTCCTATGGGTAGAGAGGGCATAGGCTCAGGCCTCCCAGACGTTTGTTGCTCTCTTTCAGTACAAGTCCACACCTGGCAAGAAGGTCTCCATCACGGGCTGGATGGTACAGCTGCCTGACGACCCCGAGCACCCGGATATCTTCCAGCTGAATAATCCTGACAAAGGTGGGCAGCAGGCCAGGTGGGCGCCTCTGTTTCCTCTCTGGCCAGATGTGTAGCCTGAAGCCCCCAAAGCTTTAAGGTCACCATTTTCCCTTCATGCTTCCCGGCTGATGTTTCCATTGGGCAGTGAGATGGCCTTGCCTCTGACTCACTGTCTGTCCTCCCTCAACCTCAGGGTCTTGGAGTAAATAGCAACCAACACTAGATGAGGTAAGACCTTGGGGCCAAAGGGGTCTTGGTTTTCAGGGACCCCTGACATGCCTGTGCCATGTGTTTGGGTCCAAGAACCCATGTAACTTCAAAAGCTCCAACTTGCCCCCTCCCTGCCAAGTTGTGTCCCAGTCTCTCCTGGTTCCATCCTTCCTTCAGAGCCCTGCTTGGAAAGAGGAGATATCTGGTGCCATCCAGGTCAGGGGCCTTGTCTTTACCGACAGGCCGAGCAGTGCATGGCCAGCCTCCTTGGTAGCCCAAATTACCAAACAAAAATTCAACCCTGCCTGGGTCTTGGATTCTGACCCATGGAAGTTTACAAGAGTAGCAAACTCCCTACACATATCCACTCCTTAATAGGAATGTGCTAGTATGGGGTTTGGGCACAGACACGTCATCTGGAACTTTGCTAAAGTTCGGATCTGGAGTCTTGCTCTGGGTGGCAATCAAGACTAGGCAGTTCTTGAAAGCTGCTGGGGCAGGTGGATGGGGGTGGTAGTGGCCAGGGGACTATACTTTGAGTGTCAGGTTCTAATGGTCTCAGTTGAGAAGTAAGAGTGTCCAACAGTCTCAAGGAGGAAGTAGACCATCCAGTTCTCAGCTCTGTGCCTGGGTAACTGAACACATGTCTGCTACACACACAGGAGTTCTTACTTTACTGACATTGGCGTCTTTTCCTGTGGTCCAGGCCAGAATCAGGGGTGTTTTCATTTGGATGAAAAAAGGCTATGCCCACAAAAGCAGGACTATGAGGCCCTGTGGCCCTGGGAACCACAGGCTACCCCTCCTTCAACCCAGAGAAAATCACTACCCCCAAGAGGAAGGAAGTGTGACATGAGAGCGGAGGGCAGTGTCCGATGATATAATTCAAAGGGTGTGTGAGCTGGATGGGAAAAAATTGCATCCTTGTTTTCAGTGACAAATGGTGGTATCTTCCTTCTATTATGCATAGGGCATTAAATGACAAGCTCATCAGCAATCCCTGTGATTTCTGTTCCCTGGAGAAAGGGACTTTTCACACCACACACAACTGCAGATATCTCAGAACCTCATTGATGCTCATCTTGAAATCCCAGCACCCTGACAGACCTGCCACCAGCTGTAGGAGCACACACAGAATGTGTTAGGTAGTTTAGTACCTGGGTCTCAGTATTCATGATTTTCCTTGTATTTTATTTTATATGTCTGAAAACATTGGTTTGAAAAGTGGTCCATAGGCTTCATCAGACAGTGGAAGGCACCAGTGCCCAGAACCTGGTTAAGAGCCCTAGTCCATGGGGGCTGGAGAGATGGCTCAGCAGTTAAGAACACTGGTTGTTCTTGCAGAAGACCCAAGTTTGAATCCCAGAACCCACATGACAGCTAACAACTGTCAGTAACCTGATAGGTAAAAAGTTGGCGGAGAACGAGCGAATGGATGATGAAGTACGGAGGCACAGATAAAACTCGATCAAAATAGGGTTTATTAGCAAAGAAACACGTGGGACAGATTCCCTTCTGGACAGGGAAAATGTCTGCCTGGGTCTTGAGCTAGGATCTTTTAAAAAGGAGGCTTCTGCCTCCTGCAGAAGGCGGGAAGATGTATTTTTTTTTTAAAGGTTGGGGGGGGGGAGGTGGGAGCTGCTTCTCTTGACTTCAAAGACCAAGGTGCTTATCAGCTCTGTTCCCTTTTCTCAGGAGTATGAGAAGTCCTTGGGATCCTGTTGGTGAGGGGGCAGGGCCATCTGAACCTTAACATAACCCCAGTTCCAGGGAATCTGACAGCCTCTTCTGTCCTCCGCAGGCATTGCACGACACAGGTGCACTTACCTACATTCAGATAGAACACTCATCCACATAAAATAAAAATAATATATTTTTTAAAAAAGAGCCCTAGTCCAAAGGGCCCTCCCCATCAGCATCGGCTAGCCTTGGGCTGCTCTCCACTTTCCTTAGTTACCCAGGCTCATGTTACCTCCACATGCTCACAGTGCCCATTTCAACCAATGGTTTCTCTCCATCAGGCAATGTTTACAAGTTCCAGACTGGTTCTCGGTTTCATGCAATACTATGGCACAAGCATTTGGATGATGCATGTAAAAGCAACAGGCCTCAGGTAAAATCTCCAGATCCTGCCCGTCACTTCCCCACCCCTTAGACAACAGGGCTTCCTCTTTCCTTTAGAGCCCATCAGTGCTGCCCCCATGCATCTGCTCTGGATTGGCATTTTCCTTGGAGTAGAGGGACCCCTTGCTCAGCTTTGCATGAGGTCTGATTCTAGAACAGAACTTTTAAACGTTCTTACTAAAGGAAATGCCATAGAAACACCCAGTGGGGGACAGTGAGGTGGCAAGTGTGGCATCACCCAAGGATCTGACTCTAGCATCTATTTAGAGTCCTCCCAAGAGCTGATTTCATGGGACTACCCCAAACTGATGGGTCTCCCTGCCCTACTACCCCGGGTGTGTTCAGGGCCAGCTGTGTGCCAGGCAAGGCTGCTGGACGTGAGTTCTGGTCTGGCTCCTTTCCCTGCTCCTCCCAGCCCTCTCCTTGTCAGCCATTACTCAAAAAGCTTCACATGCAGCCGTTGCCCAGAGTGCTTCCATGTCCCTATGAGGTGGGTACTGTAACTGTCTCCATTGCACCCTGAGGATCTTGAGGCTCAGCAGTAACAGACAGAAGGCTGTTTGAAGTCCCACAGTGGTGGGGCTGGAATCCAACTTGAGGCCACCTGATTCCTACTTCTGACCTTGTTTCCCCTGACTGAGTTCTCTGCTTCCACTTCCCTGGGAGCCCCTGTTGCTGTACAGAGGCCTGGGAGCACAGCCTCTGCTGGCCAAGCCCAGGAGAAAAATAGCTGCCTGCACCCTCAGCACCAGGTAGGAATAGACTGGAGCTTCCTGCTCCCTGAAGGCCAGGTGGGCAACGTGGATACCACAGGGAGGCCCAAAGTAAACCACACTGGCTCGAGTCTCATGGCTCACTGATGGGACCACAGGATGTACTCACTCCCATCCTCAAAGCTGAATCTAGGGCTGGGTTTGGTGGTTCACGCCTTTAATCCCAGCACTCGGGAGGTAGAGGCAGGTGGATCTCTGTGAGTTCAAGGCCAGCCTGATCTACATAGTGAGTTCCAGGACAGCTGGGCCTACAGGGGACCCTGTCTCAAAAAGACCAAAAAAAAAAAGCTGAATCTAAAGCATGCTCATTGTAACACTGTCCACGATAGAAAAATACTAGAAAGCTCACAGCCTGCTGCAGATGCCTGAGCAGCAGTAGACAGACATCAGTAAGAGGGAGGTGGGTCTGTGAAGGGGTCCTGAAAGGAGCCCAAAAGGCACTGACATAGGCAAAGATGATCTCATTTGTGTGAAAATTCATGTTCATAGTTACTATATGTATATGAATATATTCCTATACAATTTCTACAGCGATATAAAAGAAAGTATAATTCTGTAGTTTATGGAGTGCTTACATATACCCCTGTCATGTAGGTAGGTAGGTAGGTAGATGGATAGATAGGTAACTTTTTCAGTGGTGCTAAGACTAAATACAGGGCCTCAAGCATGATAGGCAAGTGTTCTACCACTGAACTGTACTCCCAACGAGCTTCCTTACGCATTAAACCAGTGTCATTGCCAATCTCTGTGATGGGAAGACCCGAAATTTGAGTCCCTTGTCATCTCAAGGCAACCAAGGGGAACAGGGGGTTGAAACCTGAGCAAGGTTACCTCTGCGCCAAGCTGCATTAAGAAGAGCTGGATCAGCTGGGCGTGGTGGCGCACGCCTTTAATCCCAGCACTTGGGAGGCAGAGGCAGGCAGATCTTTGTGAGTTTGAGGCCAGCCTGGTCTACATAGTGAGTTCCAGGACAGCTGGGGCTACAAGGAGACCCTGTCTCACAAAAAAGAAGAGCTGGATCTAGGGCCATTCTGGCCCCCTCAGCACTGGTGACATGGGTGAATCTGGGTTCCCTCACTGGCTCTGAGCTGTGAGCCAGGCAGCACATTGAAGCTCACCACCACATACACAGGTGGCCCCAGGACCTGTGCAAGAGGTCATGTGGCCCCAGGTCCAGGTGCTAGACTTGAGGTAGGCACCAGCTGGACAAAGAGGCAAACTGATCTCAGTTAGGAGCAGCATTGGGAGCCCTGCGGGAGGACTCCAGTGTCCCTCTGTTGTGGTAGGCCGCAGGGAAGAGCAGCGGTGGCATGTGGTCCAGAGGACTACGGATCAGACATCACATACCGGCAAATACAGTGTGCCATGCAAAGTTCTCCCATGTATTTTTGTTCAATTTTCTGACCCAGGAGAAGAAGAATTTTCTGTTTTTGTTTTTTATTTTTCTTTTTCTACTTTGTTTCCTTTTTACTTCCAATTTTCTTTCCACCAAACAGCCATATTCTGTGATGTATAAACGGTGGGGACAACCTGAATACTCCAGGCGGAGGCTAACTTAAATCAGTCACCATGCAGCCCTGTGAGGGAACGTAGGAAGGCATGAACAAGGGCTGTCGCAGAATGGCGGCCTCACTCCTGGCACCTGTGATGAAGACTGTGTTTCTATTTGCATTTCTTAAAATTGTTTTTTCTGACACTGAATCCATTTAAGCTTATTTATAATGTATGTGTAAGATACAAACAACAGCAGTAGAGCCAGGTGTGGTGGCGCTCAGGAGGCTGAGGCAGGAAGATCATGAGGCCATCCTGGGCTACAAAAAAAATAGTTTTTTCCCAATCCAATCCCCCAAATCCTGAAACTTCCTCTCCCCCTTAATTCTCTCTGACTCTCCTGTCCTAGCCCTGTAACCATCCTCCTCTCCTAGTGTGTGTGTTCTTTTCTGCTGTATTTTATTGTCCTGCTGGGGAGGAGATGCAGGGTCTGCCTGCTAGGAAAGTGCTCTATCACTGAACTACACCCCAGCCCTCTTTTATAATTTTTTTTAGTACTTTAAAAAAAAATTATGTGTATGCATGTATTGCCTGCACGTAGGTAAGTGCACCCGTGTCGTGCAATGCCCGCAGTGGACAGAAGAGGCTGTCAGATCCCCTGGAACTGGAGCTACAGACAGTTGTTAGCTGCCATGTGGGTGCTGGGATTAGAAACTGGGTCTTCTGCAAGAAGAGTCAAAGTTCTTAACTGCTAAGCCATCTCTCCAGCCTCCCTCGAACCTGGGTCTTCTGCAAGAACAGTCAAAGTTCTTAACTGCTAAGCCATCTCTCCAGCCTCCCTCCTTTATAATTTTATAACACAGATTTGATTCCTTCATGTATTGCCTAGGGTACTTTTTGGTTTTTTTGAGATAGGGTTCCCCTGTAGCCCCAGCTGTGTAGACTAGGCTGGCCTGAATCTCACAGAGTTCCACCTGCCTCTGCCTCCTAAATGCTGGGATTAAAGACATGCATCATCATGCCCAGCTAGGGTATTTTTTTTAAATTATTCTCCTGTTGATTTCTTTTTTAAAAAAATATTTATTATTTTTATTTTATGTGTAGGAGTGTATTGCTTGCATGTATGTGAGTGCACCCATGTTGTGCAATGCCTCAGAGGTCAGAAGAGGGCTTCGGATTCCCCTGGAACTGGAGTTAAGGATGGTTCATAGCCGCCATGTGGGTGCTGGGAATTGAACCCCGGTCCTCTGTAAGAGCAGTCAGTGCTCTCAACCACTGAGCCATCTCTCCAGCCCCTAGTGTGTATTTTTTAAACTTATCATTAATTGGAGCCCTGCCCATCCAGTCCTTTCCATTACTTGCCCTTCTGTGATGCAGTTCCTGAGGCTGTGCAATGCTGGCAAGGTGGCTGTCATTCATCTGTTCTGCAGATCCCCATCAGGCCTCTTGTCAGTCATCTCAGATTACTGGTTTTTGCTCTCACAAGTTTGATGCTATGAACATTCTTTTAACTGCCTCCTGGTGCACAGAGATGCATCTTTTTCTCCCTTCTTACTTGAGCCAAACTGACACCAAGATGGGTTTGTGTTTTGATGAACTCATAGCTAATCAAACTTCCTGGAATCCCACAGTAGTGCCAAGGAGGAGGTCCAGAGGCTGGGGGTCTAGAGGAGCTTGTAAGGGCAGGGGAAACGTTAGGGCTGGTACATCACTCCCCTAGAAGGGGGTCTTGCCCTGGGACACCACTAGGAGAAAGTATGGGGCTCATGACCTCCCCTTATTCCCTTCTCCTCCTATGCTCCCACTTGCCACATCCTACCATCCCCCAATGACTCACCCTTTCTTGAACTGGTTTCCCCTCTAGAGGCATCCACCACCTCCCACATGGCCCACCCTGCCCACCCCAAGCCCAGGTGTCTTTTGCTCAGAAGAATGTGGTTGAGAATGTGGGTTCAGGTCCCAGCCCTATTTCTACTCACTGTGTGTTTAATCTGTAAGCCTCAGTTTTCTCATCTACATAATGGAGATGCTTCTAGCATTTGCCTAATAGGGTCTAAGGGAGAACTCGAGGACATGGTGCATATGAAGTAATACCTGGCACATGAGGGCTCACCATGCCCCACCCCTCACACACACCTGTATGGTCCTTCCTCTAGGTACTACCCCTGTCCCTTTCTGAAGGTTGAAACTTTGACAAGAGGCTGAGCTTTCTCTTCTAGGTACCTGCAAACCTTATGTCATTTGAATAAGTCTCTGCAGGACTTGGAGTGACTACAAAGGCTTCTGGGAGCCTGGACTGGGCCTGGTGGAGAAGAGCCGTCCTGGGCACAGGCTGTGGGCCAGGGCACTAGGAGCCTCCCAGCTGGACTCCAGGGATGTGGCCCATGGCTTTACAGTCCAGAGGGTTCCCCCAGTGTGGGATCCACCTGTCAACCTACAGCAACTCTCATGACTCATCCCACAGCACCACCTCACAGGTGGTGGTTGGACCCCAAACTGCACACCCTGCGCCCCCTCTCTGGACCATTGTCTGTCCACCAGCTGCTTCTGCATCTACGGAGCATTCAACCCATGTTGGGTTCTTCGTGCTTTCCGCTGTACACAGAGTGGATGGTGTTAACCTTCAAGAGGGCCGGAGAGCAGAGACAGGCTGCAGGATAGGCTTGTTACACCCCAAGTGCACAGGCCGCTCGCCCACAGGGCTGCCTCAGATTTTGTACACCCCAAAAGTATCCTCCGCGTGTGCGTGCCATACATGTGTGAGTGGGAGAGAGCGAATGTGAAACTCTTTGAGAAACATGCATTTTGGCACAAGACCTAACATCACACACTTCATTCACTTTGAGGCCCTGCTTGAACCTTTAGTTACAGCCTTGTCCTCCAAGAAAAGTTCAAAGGGAATCCAGACGCCCATGTTAAGGGTCCCTTGAGTTCTTTTACTGTAAACAAACGATGCCTTAAATCGTGTCTTGTTTTCTGTTCCTGTGGGTGCTATTCATCTGGACAGCCTGCTCCCTGGGTCCCAGGCCCTCCTGGAGCCGTGTTGCTGTCAGCCCTCCTGAGGCAGAATCTGGCTCAGGGCTGTGGACTGGGCACTAGCTAGCCTGCTTGCTTCTTCCTCTGTGCTCTCTTGCCAGAGCCCGAGGCCCTCATCTCACCTGCTGCTGCCACCATGCTGACATGGGAAGTTGTGGCCTTTTCTCCCAGAAGCTCAAAGGCCATGCGCTCACAGGGATCAGCAATTGGTGGTATAGAAGTCACTCTGTTCCAAGTTCCCCCACAGGGCAAGCTTTTGCTCCCGTCATCCCATCCCTTTGTCTCCACTGCCAGGGCAGGCCACCCCAGGATTCCTGATCATGCAGGGAGCTGAGTGACATGGAGGCCTTGAGCTCTCTGCCCCCAAATGCAGTCACCAGCAAGTTCTCCATCATCCAAGTTGAAGTGCTAAGTGTTGATGACAAGGTGATGAGCACCAAAGCCCTGGGGAGTGAACCATCCAACTCTGGTGTTAAGAGCTCTTCCCATGAAGGACGATCGTTATCTGTCACCTTTTGTCATACATAAAGCAATTTTCATTTTGCACATTTTTTGTTCAAATATATTGCTCTTTATCAGCATAAATGCTCTCTCTTCTCTCCTGTTTTCTCCTTGAACTTGGGTTACCCTAACCCCGCAAAGAAACCCTCAAACAGTTTACTGGAACAGGCAGAATTTCTGGGTCCTCATGATTGTCATGGCTTCACACACTAACCGGTCACCAGACTATCCCAAGTTTCTTGGCAAGAAGTTCCAAAAAACATCTTAACCACTGACTGTAATAGGTCAATTAAAAAACCCGCCAGAGGCCCCACCACTGTATTGTGACCAAATGGGGACACTTCTCTGAAGATGTGAATGACTTGGTAAGGCAAGTAGTTGTCTGAAGGGTGGTGCTTTGTGGTTGAGCCTTGCTGTGCTCACAAGCTAACCTTCCTGTGGAGCAGAGCTTGGCTCCTTTAACACTAAGAGAAACTCCAGATGGAAAGTCGATGCCATCAAACCTTGACCACAGCTGCCTTGCACCTCCACCCACACCAGGATTCTACCAACAGCTCTTCCAGTTGGCATCTAGAGGCTGAGTGATAATGCCAGATGCTTCAGACACCTCCAACCAGAACCATGCCATGGTCACACTTTAACCTACTTTGAACCTGATCCTGCCCATTAACATTTTAAAAGTCAGAAGCTTGGATGCAGATACAAGACAGGAAGATCAGCTACATGTTTCCTTTGGGCTTCTCCACACTTCAGACTGTCTCCGGCTCTCTCACACATGAAATATCTGATGCTGGGGCTGGAGCGATGGCTCAGAGGTTAAGAACATTGGTTGTTCTTGCAGAAGACCTGGGTTCAAATCCCAGTACCCACATGGCAGCTAACAACTGTCCGTAACTCCAGTCCCGGGGATCCGACAGCCTCTTCTGACCTCCGTGGGCATTGCACAACACAGGTACACTCACCTACATGCAGGCAATACACGCATACACATAAAATAAAAGTAGTAAAGAAAATTTTTAAAAAAATCTGATACCAAAAGTCCCAGAATTTCAGACCCCACTAAATCAGATCATTTTCTGCCCTTTACAGATTTTTCTTACGTGGCACAAGTATTTTCTTCTGAGCCTAATTTGAAAGAGCACAATCACAATTCTTTTCCAAGTGTCTCGTCTTCTCACTGACTGAGACTGAGTTCACATCCCCTCCCAGAAGCATTCTTACCATGGACTCTTGAAGGAACTGTTTGGATTTTGTTGGCAAAAAGCCCTGTAGGACTTACAACACTGTTGAACATGGCAGAAGAGTCCTGGAGAGTTGAAAAACGTTCGACACTCCCAGCAGGGACTCAGGCCAAACATGCAAGTTCAGTGCTGATCTTAGTGCTGGCTTGTCCTGCAGGGTACAGGCCCTGCAGAGGGGACCAGGTCAAGCCACAGAGGTAGAAATCCTTTGGTGGAGTCTTGCCCTAGAAGGAAGCAGTTCTGTGTTTTTTGCTCCTTGACTGTCTAATATGCATAAGTATTTATAGAACCATTGGAAGTGTTAGGTCTTGCATGCCTATACTGTCATTTTCTTTAAGCAAACACACCATGACACCCCATAGTGAAGATTGTAGGCCGCTGTCTGCAAACTAGGGTGGGTAGCTGGTAATACTGTGAAATCCCAAGAAGAGTCCACTCACTCTGGAAGTAATTTTTGCCTTTACCATGTTTTCTAACTCAAGGTCAGTCAAGTGCATTCTGACAACCAAAATACTTTGTGGAGGCTGTACTCAGTGGTGGGCAGCAGAAAAACATTGTCCTGAACATGCCAGAGTGCATCCCCTTCCCTGATGCCACGAGGCACCTGATGCCTGTCAGACTGAAGCCCTAAGCAGATGGACATAACAGTATTGTTGAGAAAGGACAATACCTCTGTAATTCTTTTTTCTTACTAAGATGGCCAGTATTTCTTTCATCATTTCACTTCTACCTACCAAGTCCAAGAAAGGTATGCTTTGTGAGGATGCCATTTTTCAAATGGAAAATGATCTGTAAAAATGAGAAGCCATCTACAAGCCAAGCCAGCTTTATTGTTCAAGTGGGATCCAGAGCTCTGTACCCACATTGCTGATGCTGGTAACCATGTGAAGATTGCCAAAAACAGCCTCCCTTTTGTGTGACCCAGTAAATGACTTTAATTGGCTCAATGTCATATTGATGTGTTGGGTGATTTCATGTTGAAAACCAACAACAACACTGAATGAGTCTATTTGAAATCATAGATTTCCTGTGTATTCATTCCTGCCTATCTTTAGCATGTGCTTTGCTTCCCACATACCAGGCTTTACCCAGGATGTAAATGGCTGAAAACAAGACATATCCAATTTCAGCCTTGTGGAACTCAATAAACAAAAAATCCCCACCTCACACACCTACTTGGGCAAGGTCCTGCCTCTCCCCCAGCCCTGGATACAAATCCTGTAGACTTCAAGAGACCCAACAGACTGAATGGGTTTGCTGTATGAGTCAGTTATATTGGGGACTAACTGGAGTCCCCACATTGGAGGCTGGCTGGTTCTGGGCAGCCAGACACAGAGCTGTGTTCAAGAACAGTATAGGGTGAATGCCAAAGGCAGAATGAGGGTGGGGTCTGGATGCCAATGCTGATGGTATTCATTTCACAAGCTTTTTTTTTTTTTTACTTTTGGTTTTTCAGTATTAAGTTCAAATAAAGTCTGAGCGAGAACTGCATGTTCTTGGGAGCAGAGAAACTTGTACCTTGGACTTTGGTCCAGCTCATAACCTGCTGCGCACGTGGCTATCTGGTGGGCAACCCCAAATCCAACTCACAGCAGCAAGGGAATAGAGCTGTCCATTTTATAACCACCAATCTGTCCACTTCTGAATGACTGTGACCATCCAGTAATGAAATAATAGTAATTAATTTATTAGTGAGGTATAATGTTTAATAAATTTCGTGCCAAAATGCATGGTTTCCCACTTAGCATTCAAAATGTTGCATAGAGAGTAGTTTTCAATTTCTTATGTATTCTTCCAAATACACTGAAAATGGGTTTCTACATTTTTGTTTGTTTCTTGTTAAATCTGTTGCATTCTCCCAGGCTGTCTTTTTCCCCAGCAGACCCTGCATGCAGTTGTGTAAGGACTTTCTCTAATATTTGTGAATTGTCTCATCTGCAATAACCACTGAACATCAGCCCTCCGTGGGATTCTTTAGATTTTTGGTGAAGTATTTTGTTACCTCAGTCTTGTATCAAGTTGCAGTATTTTCCAGCTTGTTACACTGATAATTGTTTCACTAATTAAATACTTTAATGTACAGACATCTTTGGTTACTTTGAAATTAAATGTGTTTTCCAATGAATATTGCTCAATTTATTAAAGTCACACGCATTCACTTGGCAAGCAGTTGCTGTGCCCGACGCAGACATGGAGAAGATACGGCTGCTCAGAGCTCAGCTAAGAGTAACTAGCATGTAGATAACATAGGAGGGAAGGGCAGTGACAGTGCTCCTGGGTCTTTGGTGGAGGGAGGCAAGGGACCTGAGCATACCTTCGAGAGCAGGGGGGCATCTGCAGATTCAGATCGGAAGTTGCAGAAGATATAGAGGCTGGGAATGGGTGCAAGGGGTGGGTGCACGTGCGAAAAAGGCAACCCGAGCTCACGGAGAGGACTGGGGTCGTCTGGAGAGCTAAGTCTGAAAAGAGGTGTTAGGAGGAATGCATGATGTTAGGCAAAAAGCAAACCCACTCCAGCTTGATTAGAGAAAAAGTGTGGTAGGAGCCTGCTGCATCTGCATCTGAGAGAGAGAGAGAGAGAGAGAGAGAGAGAGAGAGAGAGAGAGAAAGAAATTGATTGGGGATCCCAGTGGCCGCGCTCCAGGCACACACACCCACTCCCTCTCCGGATCATCCACTATGAACAGGAGATCCCTGGCCCTGCCTGCCTCAGTTTCCCAGCCAATGCCTTTCGAAGTTGTAAGTGGTCACATTGCCGCACGCTTCTGCCCCACCACTTAGTTCCAGGCCTCGGTTCCCCGCTGCCACAAAGCCCTCCTTGCTGAGGTAGCCCTAGCCCACATTCTCCTCCTGACTTAGATGGAAAAGCCAGCCCTAGCTTTACCCAGACGAGCTCCTAACCCCCAGTCATAGGGCAACGTTCAAGGACCCTGAGGTGATGCACCCGACTTCGGGAGAAAACTAGGATAGTGAAGAGGGAGGGGGTCGTCACACAGCTGGAAAGTGATGAATCAAAACCTGAACCCACGAAGAGAAGCCAGCAAAGCCCTAAACCCTCAGCTTCACTGCGTCAGGCGCCACACGGCCAGCAAGAGATAGCAGCACTTCCCCTCGCTGGATGGAGCCATCCAGAGAGCACAGACCTGAGGGTGCTCAGCCCGGACCGCAGCATCATCCAGGCGAGGTGAGAAAGAGGCCTTGGGGGCGAGACCGCGCGGGGCGGGGCCTGCGGTATGGGCGGGGCAGCTAGAGGGCCCGGCGGGGCGAAGAGCCGAGCGCCGACCGAAGCAGAGCGTTTGGAGGTCCAGACCCCGGCTTCCCGAGGGGAGGGGCGGGGCTCCGAGGTCCAGACCATGCCTGGGGGCGGGACGTGGGGCAGGGCGGCTCCCGAGAGGGGGCGGGGCTACGGCGGAAGGGCCCAGGAGGCGCAGAGGTGAGCAGAGTCGGGCGGACGCTGAGGGACCAGAGCCGTGGGGTGGAGGGCCGGTGCGGCCAGGCGCGCTGCGGTGGAGGGGGAGGTGGGCTGGGTCTGGGGGGATGGCGAGGAGCCGGAGAGCCGGGCCTGGCAGGACGGAGTTGAGCATGGGGTGGGCGGTTGGGGCTCGGACGCTCCACAGGGGTACGGAGAGCTAGCGGGAGGAGCCCGGAGGGGCTGGCGCGAGAGGGGCGTGGCCGGAGCTCGAGGCGGGGCCGGGCGAGGCCTGCCCTGCGCGGAGGACGGCCGGAGACCCACTGAGCGGAAGGGCGGGGCGGGGAAGGGGGCGGAGTCTCTACCAGACTCGGGCGTGGGGTGGGTTGGGCTAGGAGATGGGTTGGGTTCAGGGCGGGGCCTGGCCCGGGCGCGCTTGAGCCCCTCGGAGTGGTGACGGGGAGTGGGTGCAGGCTGCAAGGCTCAGGGCAGGGTGGAGCAGGCGGGGCGGGGCCGGGCTCAGCGGCGTGGTGAGGGGGGCGGAAGCCTGCTAGGTTGGGGTTGGGGGCGTGGTCGGGCAGCGTGGTGAAAGGACCTGCTGGGTTGGAGGTGGGGAAGGGGCGGGGCCTAAGCGGAGTGGCGAGGGAACCGGCTAGGTTGGGGGCGTGACCGGGACGGGCCCTAGGACCCCCTGAGATACTTAAAGACCTGGGTAGGTGGGAGTTAGGGGCGGGGCCTGAGGCCTGAAGGGAGATGAGGCGGGCTGGGCTAGTAACCCTAGCCCAGCTAGAAGTGGAGTGGGAGACCAGCTAGATTGGGGGCGTGTGTGGGGTGGGGCCTAAGCGGAATGGTTGGGGGGGTATGCTAGGTTGGGGGCGGGTCCTAGGCGGAGCCTAAGCAGAGTGGCGTGGACCTCCTGGATAGGGGCGGGCGAAAGGGCGGGACCTGAGCCCCGCGGAGGGGTTTAGGGGGCTGGTTAGATTGGAGTTCGGGGGGGGGCCTGAGGCCTACTGGAGGGCGATGAGGCGGGCTGGGCTGGTTACACGGGCGGGGCTGGGGCGGGGCCTGGGTCCTGCGAGGGGGGCGGGGCGGGGCATGGGCTGCTGCGCGCTAGCCTAGCGTCCGGCCGATCCCCGCCGAGGCCCGAGCCCACCCGAGTGTGCCCGAGCGAGTAGCCCCCGCCCGGGGCGATGGAGCCGGAGCCCGGCGGCGGGGCGGCCGCTGCGCTCCTGCGGCAGAAGAGGGCGGCGCTGCGGCGCAGGGGATGCAGCTTTGAGAGTCCCAGGTACCATGGTCCCGGAGGGGTGCAGCCTCGAGGGGCGGGAGCAGGGGACAGGCCACGTGGGGGGGGTGGCGGTGTGAGGGGACGGAGCGCGGCAAGGCCGGGGCGTGGGTGGGAGTCGGCGCGGAGCCTGGTAGAGCGGCCCAGCAGTCTCAGGGAGTGCCCAGCGGGAGGGCCGGGGGCCAGTGTCCGGCGGCGAGCAGATGCCCGGAGCCTTGGCGCTGTGTCAGGCTCGGCACACCACAGCTGGAGCAGGTCTCAGGTGGTGGGGAACGCGTCCTGCCTGTTTCTTCTAAATGTTCAAGGACAAGGTCGGAACCCCTAAGCCTCTCCATCCCCCAAAGGACTCCCTTTGCCCTTTGCCATCCATCCTCACACCCCAGGTGCCTGGACACCTGCTGCCTCGGGGCCGTACCTATCCCTGGCTGATGGGGGGGCACCCCTGCAGAGTTCCTGGGTTCCCACTCTCTCCCCAGGTAGTCCACACCCCTCCCAGCTTCACACCCCTCCCTTACCTGTGGCACTCTCCTAAGGAACCAGCCCTGCCCTAGTGCAGCCTAGCTGCTGGACACACCCTTACCCCCAGTGGCTGATGCCCCTTCCCTATGCCCTGCCTACTCCAGCTTCCTGGGCCTTCCAGTGCGGTGGACCCATCCCTTTCTGGATGACTCCAGCACCACCACCGAGAGTTCTACCATTATTTAAACCCCCAGCCCACCTGGCTTCTAGAGGAGTCTCCCGAAGGTGAACCACCCCCCTCTCCAGCTTCTTGCTGCTTGCACCTGAGGAGTTCTGCATCACTCACAGCATGGGTAGGGACAAGTCAGTTGAGGGTGCAGGACTTTAGTCTCCACTGAGGTGGAAAAGAGTTCACTTGCTAGGACACAAAACAAACCCAGTCAAGATCCTTAATAGGTGTGATCCTCCTAATGGACTTTCTCCAGCCTGAGTCCTTGCCAGACCCTGTTCCAGCAGTCCTGATAAGAGTGTTAAGTGTGATGAAGACAGGGACCAGAGCTGTCCCGGCTACAGAGCTGGCTCTTGCTGGCCCATCACAAAGCCTGGTGAACTGGTGACTCCTCCCTCAGGCTTGTGGCACTGCTCAACACTTTTGCCCCTACCACACTCTACTTGCACTATTCTGTCCCTTTGTCTTTGGATAGTGCCTAACCCACCTCAGTTCTGTGTGGTTAGCATCTGGGCATCTGGCTAGGAGATTGCACATATCATTGTATGCAGTGACCTGGGTGGTGCCCTCCCTTGGATAGGAGACCCAGACACAGTTTCTGTGGCTGGACATAAAGGATAAGGAAAGTTCTACCAAGAGTTAAGAACCAAGAGAAGCAATTGTTGCATCCTTGAGGCCTGAGGTAGAATGTTTGGGGCAGCAGTGGCCTATAGAACCTTCAATGATGGAATGGTTCTGTAATCCACTGTATCCCATATGGGAGCCATGAGCACCTGCATCCCATATGGGCACCATGAGCACCTGCAGCTATGGAGCACTTCAGCTGAGGAGCAGAATGTTGGGTTGTATTTAACTAGTGATGTAACCACCTGTGAGTAATGTTCACCGTAATGGAAAGTGCCAGTTTAAGATTTGATTCTTCCATTAAATTCCCACCCAATACCACTCCCTCCTTTGTCTTCATGACCTGAATTCTCAAGGACTAAAAGACTCTGAGCCTCCAAACTGTTTTTCATTCTGACACTCTATGACCCTTAAGATAATAAGGAATACCTTCTTTTCTGATTACAAGAAAATTTGTTAAATTTCTTAATGAAAATTGAAAACACAAGAAAGATGAAAGGTACAAAGAAGATAGGGGTGTTTTTTTCTTTTTGAGACAAGGTCTCCCTGTAGCCCCAGCTGGCCTGGAACTCACTATGTAGACCAGGCTGGCCTTGATCTCACAGAGATTCACCTGCCTCTGCCTTCTGAGTGCTGGGATTAAAGGCATGTGCCACCATGCCTGACCTGACAATTTGGTTTTAAAAATATTTTATTTTGTTGGTATGAGTGTTTTGTCTGCATGTATGTAAGTGCGCAACGTGTGCGTAGTACCCAAATAGGTCAAAAGAGGGCATCATATTCCCCTGGAACTGTAGTTTTAAAAAATGTTGTTAGCCACCATGTGGGTGCGGGAACCAAACCTGGTTCCTCTGGAAGAATAAAAAGTGCTCTTAACTACTGAGCCATCTCTCCAGTCCCCTATCCACCCCACCCCCTTATTTTTTGAGACAAGATCTCATTATGTAGACTAAGCTGGCCTTGCACTCACAGAGATTCACCTGCCTCTTCCTCCCAAGTGCTGGGGTTAAACACATGCACCACCATGTGTGGCCCACAATTTGATTCTTACTCATAATCCCACCAGGGATCATGAGAGCTTTCTCTTCCACGTGAACAAATGTATCTATACTAACATTTTAACTTACTTTTTCATTTAACATGTTGTAAGAAATCCTTAAACATTTCTTTTTTTAATATTTTATTTATTATTTTTATTTTATATATATATATGTGTATTGCCTGCATGTAGGTAAGTGCACTCATGTTGTGCAATGCCCGCAGAAGACAGAAGAGGCTGTCGGATCCCCTGGAGCTGGAGTTATTGACAGTTGTTAGCTGCCATGTGGGTACTGTGATTGGAACCTGGGTCTTCTGCATGAACAACCAGTTCTTAACCACTGAGCCATCTCTCCAGCCCCAAACATTTCTTAAGAAAACTTTTAAAATACCTCATGAACTGCTATATGGGTGTTTTACAGTTTTAACCAGTCTTTATTATTTTCACACTTCCTAAAGATCCACTTAACTCCTGTGTGTTAGTCTATGTGTGAAGAGGTCATTGGTCCAAAAGGTCAGATCATAGAAAAGATGGAAACAGTTGGATCAAGAAAAAGGAGCTACTTAAAGGCTTTTGAAGCATAATGTCAGATTGTTCCCCAGAATTTGCAGTTCCCCCAAGAGCCTATGAATGCCTGTTTTTTCCTCATCCTCAGCCCTAGGCGTTATCATTTATATATTTGCCAAAATGATGCTGTGTTTTAATTTGAATTTCTTTGTTTAGTAGTGAAGTTTTTCTCATATTTATTCATAACTCATTTTATGAAATATTTGCATGAACTTTGCTTTTCTTTTTGGAATATTTTTCGAGTCCTTATAGAATTGAAGCACTTAGTTATTAAGGGACTTTTTTTTTTTTTTTTTTTTGGTCTTTTTGAGACAGGGTCTCCCTGTAGCCCCAGCTGTCCTGGAACTATGTAGACCAGGCTGGCCTTGAACTCACAGAGATCCGCCTGCCTCTGCCTCCCAAGTGCTGGGTTAAGGGACTTTTATGGTTTAAAATGTAGAAAATATTTTTCCCAGTTAATTATTTGTCTTCATTTTCTTGGTGGTAGTTTTCAATGTGTGTGTGTGTGTGTGTGTGTGTGTGTGTGTGTGTGTTGAGTGTTGTTTTAATTCTAGGGTGTTTTTGTTTGCTTGTTTGTTTGTTTGACAGGATCTGGCCTAGAACTCCATATGTAAACCAGACTGGTCTTGAACTCACAGAGATCTACCTGCCTCTGCCACCTGAGTACTCAGATCAAAGGTGTGTGCCACCACATCCCACATTGATTTTAAGTTTAGCTCCGTAAATTCCTTCCTCCTGTTTGTGCTCATGTACAAGAGAATTCCCTAACTTAAACTAGATAAGCAATCACCTACCATTTCTCCATTTTTAAATTAATTTTAAAAGTTAGTATACAAAGTAATTTTCCATTTTCCTTGCTGCCCTAAAAACCGCATCCTTACTTCAGTGACTCAGGTGACCTCACAGTCCTGGCCATGTACTGTAGATGTTAGATCACAGGTGCCTAGAGCATCTGTCTTAACCATGCAGGTGCTTCTGTAACACTGGGGGTAAGAGATGTTGCCGCATCTGTGTGCCTGCTGCCAGATTAGTCTTCCTTACCCAAAGTCCTCAAATTCTTCTTGTGTCAAGTTTAAATGTCCATTTCTTGTGTTTAGGGCCCTTGGGAATATGTGTAAACTATACTTACCCAGTCATCTTGTTAGCTCGATTCTTCATGTGTGTGCATGTGTGTGGCATTCATTTCAGTTTGGCAGTTCTCTTTGATACGTGTCCTGCGTCAGTTCTGATAACTCGTGTCCAAGCACAGCAAGCTCATGAATGTGAAGGACCCAGGCATCATGTAGATAGCATGAGAAAGACTAGCTTGGGATAGCTGGACATTGGGAAAGGTATGATACTCTCAAACAACTTGCCCTAAATGTGTTCGCCATGATTTTATAAAAAGGCCTATCAGATGGTGTTCATCAACAAGAGGTTTGATGTGAGATGGAGCTGGGCTCAGTTTTCGGCTTCTTTCATTCAAGCATGTGAACTCAAGTTGCATTTATAATGTTTTTATGGGAGCTTTAAATGAGCTTTTAATGTATGTGTGGTGTTAAGAACAGTGAGCACAGGACTTTGGGCATGGTGGTGCATGCCTTTGATCCCAGCACTTAACAGGAGTGTGGGTGTTCCCCTCCTAAAGGCGCACTGGAAAGTTTTCATCCAAGCATGGTTGGTGACTTCCCCACAACTGCACAAAATGGTGAGAGAGCTGCCCCTCTATTTCCTCAGTTTGTGTACCCTTAGCCCCCCTCCTTCATGCAGCTAGGGCTAACTGGTTGGGAGGTGTGGCTGACTCTCTCTGCCCCTCCTTTCTGGTGGAGCATGACAGTCAACAAGCTGAGCTGTGACAATCCTAGGCAAGCTTGGGAAGATGGCGTCTGTCCCTGGTCTGTCTGTTGGGGGACAGTCCTATGCAACACTGGCGTAGACCAGGCTTTGTGAGTCGATGTCCAGTGTTCAGATAATGTCATCAGTAGTTTAGTTTTCATTTTCTCAATTGACTTTATTCTCAAGGTCAGCAAAGAAAGTCAGCTATTACGGTTTTACTATCTAGCCTAGCAAAACAATGGTACTTACTTCTTAGGAAATGTTTAGGTT